CTCGAGTAGGGCCGTGACCGGCGTTGTTAGCATTACTGTTGTTCGAATTCGGGTAGTCCCGCAAATTGCCGTGGAGGAGCTGCAGCCTGCCGCTTATTTCTAACGTCTAGTATATGTAAAAAATAAATATATACTTTAGGACGCTGTCTATGAGACCAGATGTACATTTATATGTGTATGAACAGTCTGTTATTACCTGAGTCTATCCTCTGCTGGCGGGCGAAATTTCTGTGACAGATTTAGTGAAGCTGGACTAATAATTTTCCCACCATGATTCCTTTCTCCAAAAGAGAGGCTGTACTCATTTGATTATTCTTCAAACTTAACCAACTTTTTTATTCCAGATAGAAAATCCTACGTTGGTTGAACCGGACATAACATAGTGTTGTTTCCGATTCCTCGTAACATATATTTATTGATCTATGCGTCAACGGCCTCTCGACGAAACAAACTGGGCTCTTGTTTTTTTTACTGATCGCTAAGTGAATTAGCACAGAGATTCTCCTGTGGTCATGCAATAGCCGTTAAATTTAATTTGACCTAGTATCCGGAGAAGAAGTTTTATTATTCGTAGGAATAATAATTTAAAAGTTGGCCATCTTACTTTGGATTGTGCAATTGCACAGCTGAGCGATTTGTAGGTCCTCAGTTGTCGGGTGGAGCTATCGTTTGCTAGAAGCAACCCAAGGAAACTAATGTGGGCAGCACCGCAGCACGTGATTGTGCGAGTTGAAGCTATGTCTCCGATGTGCACGCTGCTTTCACACAACTATAAGCTAAAGCGGCCTTATTTTATTCATCCAGGGCGGATTCCCTATAGTTCTAGTTGATGGATTCCGTCATCCCTGAAGTGGACTTTATGCCCTTTCCGACAATTTAGTACCCCTATCGCCAAATCAGCCAGAATATGCTAATAGAAGTTAAGATGCTTATTAACTTCAGAGGTTTCAGAGGTTTTCCCTCAGTTGAAGTAAACTAAGAAAAAGCTCAAATTCAGGATTAAAAAAACCAATTTGATCTCAAACACAGTAGGTCGTAAAAGGTGCCAAAATTAACACAAAACTTGGGTAAATCGGAAGACATTTCCAACTGATTGCCTCGAACTCGAAAATGAAAATTCTGTGGACTTAATTTAAAGAAAAGTTGGGCGACGCTAGTGTGGGAAGCGTCGCGGGGTTATACCAAATTAGTACTTTTACTGGACAACTGAAATTTCGAGAATGCCATTAATGTTCTGTAGTTTGGGCAACTGCACGCCAAGCATTTCAGGAAACAGTCAGTCACGAAAGAATCAGTCGCAAGTGGAAAATATGGAAGAAGTCAAAGCGGGCAAACGCACACTTTTCATTAGTCATTATCAAGATTGCTCGGCCATACATGTCGCAGTAGGGTAAAAAAAGACGAAGAACAACCAATAAACCGGGAGTGGAGGAGAGAGCTAAGAGCAATCACAGTCTTTCATTTTCTGAACGCATGCTGTGAATTTGGATTCTATGATTTTACTTTGGTTCCTATTCAATGATTCTTTTCTGATTTTTGTTTCATCAGTTTTATGCGGTATTTCGAGCCCTATTCCTAGTTCAAAGCAGTTCGTGGGAGGGGACCGTAAGTGCTGGGTTTTCTCAGGCCTTGCGGCTGACGCAAAGGGTTCTGAAACCGAAATGTTGTTACCGATCTATTTGGTTTCTGATTAGAAAACATAACGTATGTGATGCTACTAATAACGTTAAAATCAATGATTTGTGAAATTATTAGCGTACTATTCTGACGCAGTCGGACAAGTAGCCTAAACTTTCACTGGGTTGACAGTAAGTTTCATCCAGTTCACTCTGGTCCACCTCGTAGTCACTGTCTCAAAACAACTGCTAGCCTGTCGTCTTTCGGCAGTCAGTTTATGTTGTTCTAGATGAAGATGCGGCTCGCTACTTTGCATCGTCCTCCTTCTGATTGTCTGTCTAAGTGGATGCTAGAACACCATCCTTGTTAGCTGAACCAAAGCAGCGTAGAATTCGTTTGCGGCACAATCGTGGCTTGCAGCTTTGACAGCCGTCAGCAAGTAGAAGTCCATAAAGTCTTTTGATTCATGTAAGGTGCCGGTGCGACACTTAAAATTCCTACGTCAACGTATGCTTGCGTCAGCTGAGGCGCTAATTAAATTCTTAGCTAACCAAGACTCGGGAATAGAAGGCATTTGTTCAAGCTCTCCAAATACCATGACCCCAACTAAACCACACACGACATTTCGACCGTCGCTCCCAATGAGGTCCACGGTGTGCTCTGCAGCATCGTGGGAGCAGAAACCGTGACTTGTGCTGCAGCTGCCGCACTCTCTCCTCCCTCATCCACCTGTGCTCGGTTTCAAGATAGAGTCCAGAAGGCCTTAGGCGGGATCGGCACATATGGCGGCCATGGCCGGAGTCTCCACGCCTAACCCAGATCCCACAGACTCCCCTTCGATGTCCTCTAATCTCATAACTAGACCACAATTCTTGCCCACCTTATTAAACGTCTTCAGGCACACACAAATCCTTTCCGTTGTTTTATTTCAATTTCTATCTTTTCCTTCTCTACCATGCCGTATACTTTTTTTAGACAGCTGATTATAAATAATAGACAGACTGTGTTCGCCGATTTTGAGTACTTCACAGAGCTCAGACGATTCGATGTTGAATACGGATAAAAGGGGGAAAAATAGGCACTTTTTTACCGATTGCCGTTTTCTGATTTAATATTTAGAGAGACTGAGTAGCTGGAGGAAATTTTAAAAAGTCACGTAACAGAAGTGCACTGACCTGTACCAAGTACAGAACGGAAGGCAGGTGCTATGTATCTCCAGTCTACAAGCTACACACTGTATCTCAATATCCCTAATAACAACCCTGATTAGTGAAGCACGCTTGACTTCACACGCTGACATAATTTCCTCGAAAACAACTGACTGGAACAGAGACAAAGAGCAAGCAACTCACGATGAAGCCGGAAGTGTTGTCCAGTAGGCATCGAAAGCGGACGGTGAAGCATCGCTGGAGCAGGTGACTGTAAGCTTCCGAAATAAAAGGGAAAGCGGTCATTTTAAAATCTCCAAACAAGACTTTCTGGCCATTTTTTAAAGCATAAAAAATTTCTGCAGTCTCTGCTTCAGCGAAGGCCGATATCGTCCTACTCATGCAAAAAGATGAGATGTAGAATGCTTTCGGACTGCCTAAGTTCTGCACGTATTCCTGTGTTTAAATTGAAAAGTCTATTCGGCAAACACCTGTTTTCAGTAAGTTATCATCGAGCCTGTATAATTGCATTGATAATGAAAATATAAGAGTGGGACAGAGTCTATAAACGTCTCATAATCAAAACTCACCGTTCTTACATTGCCCGCATGGCAAGGTCGGCATGTGGAGGTCATTGGACAAGCAGGGGGAGAAAAGGGGTAGGCTGTGAGTGGTGGTCATAGTTCGAGTACGCGGAACAAAAATCACTGTCACGGGCACAGTGTGAACAAAGGTCACCTGGGGGTAAGGCGATATGCGATCGTCACTTGACGTCGGCGTCGGCCACGGAACAGAGAGCGTCTGTCTCCTGACAGCATGGCACTGAATTGGCCGACGCGAACGTCAGGTGACAGTCGCATTTCGCCCCCACACCCTGGTGACAGGTATTCACTTCCTGCACGTGACAGTGATTTTCGCTCTGCTTACTCGAGCCATGGCCACTACTCACAGCCTACCCTATTTCCCCCGACCTTGCCATGCGAGCGGTGTAAGGACAATGAGTTTTAACTATGAGATATCAGCTCTGGCCAACTCCCCTAGTTTCATTATCAATGCAATTGTACAGGCTCCAGAATTAACACATGCTTGCCAAATAAGCTACTCGAGTAGAACTTTGTCGGACTTAACTAGTACAATATTAAGGGTTACCTGCAGATGTACGTGTCACCGCTATTTAAACCAGACTATTATCACACTGAAACGCAGTAACTTTCATTGCTAAGACTACGGTAGCTATTGATCTTCTTACTTCCTCGGATTATCGGCCGAGGCCTGTAATTAGTCATTTCATCTGCAATCCAGTACACACGCTCCCAACGCAGTTTTATCTAATGGAACTGTTGGGAATTAAACGAATCTTGGTAGTTTATCAAAACGGGTTCCACTTTTCACCATCTTTCACTGATTATTTTTTAAGGTTCACTGCTTTACCAAGATACATAGTAGGCGGAATAACGTTACCGACAAAGACCAGAGAGACTGGAGTGGTCACTTCTGGTTTACTGGCTGTCATCAGTCGGCCATATCCAACCTCTGGGCCTCGAACCCGCGTTCATATGGCTAGAAGCCCGACGCTCTAACCACTAAGCCACGGACTCGTGGTCCGGTCTTTTGCGACTATGGTAGGGGTCGCTCATTGATTGTGATACGGGACATGCTCTTTCCGTTTTGCCTTGACGCTCACTCTCGAGTCCCGCCAGCATCATTTTGGCAGTTTTATTTTCTGTGTTTATGCGCGTATTTCACCATGACTTGCCTTTAACCTCAAAAGCTCTGATGCACTGGATCGCGAACATAATGCTGCACGCACTTCTTCACAGAGATCAATTCGAGGTGGGTATGTACGATATTTCCGACTATTAGGGCAGGTCCCCCTTCGTCGTGGATGCTTGCTTCCCTATATTCCTGCATTACTTTCAATACGGACAACTAATTCCTCCATGCAAAGGTAAAAAATCGATCGACGCTGCTACAGCTAATATTAGCAGTTCCGTCGGAGAACTGGGGAAGGTAATCCTGCCCTATCCAGCAAAGGCACTTAAAAGTCGCTTCTGAACACGTTTCGGAGGCAATGCGCATAACTTCTTGTGTGGTCACGTTGACGAAAGTGGTCCTGTTAGGGCGACCGTGTCCGAAAGAAAACACAAGCAAGTTCCGGAGACGTTAGGTAGCCCCAAAATCGGGAAAGTTAAAAGCGAAAAAAAATCGATAAAGCTAACTCTGACGGGCTCGGCGAACACTTAAATTTATGTTGCTTTTTATGAATTAAGTGCTTTGACAACAGGCAACCTACCAGATTCTACGAATCGTCCGCAAGTTGAAAACATGTGCTCTAACGGACTAAGTTAGTGCTCGCAAGCTACCATGGGCTAACTAAGTCCTTCACCTCGTCCCCTCTTTTAGTAAGAACCTGACTGCTACATTATTTTGCCCTTATTGCAAATAGGCTCCTCCACTTAATCGTTTTCGGACACCGGGGCCGAGTTGGTAAACTAAACAAGGAGCTACGGATTCCTGCCGCCCCGCCTATAACCCAACCCCCTCCCCCTCCTCCATTTCTGTCGGGATCCAGGGCCACGCAGTCTCCTGAGGATGGTGGGAGTGGCTAGCGGCAACTGACGACCCCTACTTTCTGATTGGTCAATATTAAGTGTGGCCATGGGTTCGTCCATTACGTCGGAAAAACTACTTCGTCATTTCCGAGGCGGAGACTGACTGCCAGTGAGCGGGT